GAAAAAAATCTTAGGGCGAATTTTAAGTATAGTATATGAACTATTGGAGCCGAGGTATTAGATTCGCTGATAAAAAGGTCGGAGCTCTTAACCGTGTAGAGATCGCTTAATCCTTTCATTCCCAAGATCTCATTTGTAATTCTCCTTACTATCTGCCATACAATTCTTACGATGTCAGTTGAGAGAATTTGGCATTGAATCAACTAATAGTCCCCTAAATGCCTATTACGTGTCTGCTTGATAGTGTATTGATTTTGTATGGAGAAATTCTGTCTTGATCACTCATGGGAGTTAAATGTTTGGAAAGCCCTTTACTCTAATTAGCAAGCACAGAAAGAGGAAAATTTTACCTTTAACGTAAAGTGAAACCGCAGAATCCAATTAGGTGAACGCTTAATTAAGGAACTCTTAGTAAAAAAGTTACCCAGGGTTTAAATCTCGGGTCATGATTTCTTACTTTTACAATGTTATGAAGTGTAAACGATATTTCGTGCGAGTAACGGAATTTGCTTTCGCGGGTCCTTAATTTCTTGTTTAATCGCAAATTGAATTGAATGATTTCTGCTCTAAAGATCTCGCCACTATAAGAGAGAGAGGGAGGGAAGGGTTCTTGTGATTCTGCCATTGCTTGTCTCCCGTAATGTTTTAATCTTATTCACTGGAACTAAATTCTCAACCAACGTCAACAGAGTTCGAATTTCCTGTTCAAGAATGTTAACCATTATAGGGAATCCTAACGAAGCGTTAACGCTGCCGTTCAATGCCTTCCTAAGGTTTCAATCTACAGCATTCTTTTGAGGTAAAACTCCCAACAGCGGCACCCAAAATGAGGTTTCCACCCATCATAATTACTCTATCTAGACTAGCTTAGACTCTTCTTGTTCCATTCGTTTGGTTGAAAAGGTCAGTGCGGCCATGATCATTTGTGTCTTCAACAATTTTTTAAAACAAAAAGCGACACATTATTAATGAACGGCACCGTTGTTCAAAAATCATTCAGTTCGATTACGATTTAATTCTAAGCTGTTTGGAGTTGATTTATGAACCGTATCGAGAGCTTCTTAATGGTAGCTGGGGATTCTGAACCCACAATGGAAATACCGTGCAAAAACCCTCTGTAATAAACATCAGTAACTTTTTCAGCACCCTGCATTTAGCAATGGTGCACTAGCGTCTAATACTGTTTGCGTGAGCATTTTTATGAAGCCACAAAGTTTGTTGTTTTGTAACACATTATTTCCGACCGTAAGATCAACTTTTGGGTCGGGGTAATGATAGACTATCAGGTAGCTATCTACACAGACTTTACAGGATATTTTAGAAGTTGAGTCAAGCAACATAAATCTGGCCTCAGTCCGTTTAACTACAGACAACAGCGCTTGGAACGACAAATCTAAGTATCCATCTACTCAAAAGCGAAAGTGCTGACTGCAACAGTGAATAAAGTGATGCGGAAATATGCTTAAATGGTAATTGAAACCGCTCTGCTTTGAGCATTCGTTTCACCTCTTGGAATCTACAATAAGAATGATTTTAACTCACCGTTTCAATACTTTCACGGGGTGTTTAAATCGGACTCAACGCGTGGCAGATCAGATAAAGGAAATTCTTTGCCTTGTCACTTAGCGGAACATATAAAAATACTCTTTTGTTAAGGACGCGGTGCATTTTCCATGATCTCGTGATTTCAGCGATTCAATGTCTATTGTTGTGGCGTAACGTCAATTGCAACAAATGACAGATTTGATTTAGTGCCCGTGACCCGGGAAAATTAGGTGGAAAATTTAATCACTTGGGTGAGAGTAATAAATGAAATCGGGCGATCTATGCAGGTTTTTGTCCAAAATCTTTCGTTTCTGTCCACTCGTAATTGTTTTCACATTCATGGTTTTGTCACGCAACATGCCCAAATTGGAGAGTGGTGGGGGAGGGAGAGCTGGGAATAATTCAATCCTTGAGTCCTTGTGAGTATTATCGGATTGTTTGAGGCACTCGAGTTTTACTGTCATTTTTGTTTCGTTTTGTTATGGTTTTTTTCTTCATTTTGGTCAGCCACTAGTCAGCATATGAAATTTCTTTTCCCTTTGAGGAAGGGTAATTTTCTGAAAAAGAAAAAAAAAAGGAAAATAGATCCAGTCCAAGATGGCGGCGAAAAGTAAGCTGAAATAGTCTGGCTTCGGATCGATCTTTTTTTACATGAATTCTGCCATGTCCAATGTAGACATGAGCACAATGCAAGTGACACCGAATCAAACAAATAGCTGGTTAAGAAAGCTTACGTGGCCCTCTTGACCAATTAGATAAGATAGAGATTTATCAAGGTCAGAGGTGGAGCTGCGCTAGTCGTGCGCAGACCTTCCAACCCTCACGGTTTGACCGTGAGACTCACGGTTTGGGATGCCAACTCACGGTCTCACGGTTTTGCCTCTTAATCTCACGGTGAAACAGAAAGCCTTACAAATGTCAAACAATACCGGAAGATATAAAGTAATATCCAGAAATCTGTGCTCATAACAGCCGAATTTAACAAAACTAATCTGTGAGAGAAATGGCGGTTAGGGTTGGCCTCAGTCTCCAGTCGACCGTGGGTGTTTCGGTGCGCCCGCGATCCTCTAGTGGTGGTGGGGAGGATCGCGGGTGTACCGAGACACCTGATCAGAATCTAATTAGGTCTGCGAAAAAAGCAGCAAAAGAGTACAACAAAGAGCACTAATAAGGTAAAGAGTACTCTGAAACAAATAATCTGTAGTTGTTGTTTTATTTGACGCATATTTTTTAAGTCTCCACGCTTGAGGTCCTAATCTCCAGGTCTTTCTGGGCTTTATTTTTCAAAACCTCCAGATATGGATGCAATGGGGGTTGGAAGGTCTGCGTGCATTTCCAACGCTTTACGTATTTACGCTTCAAGCAGGTGGCCTGTTTCTTCTTTGAGTTCTCATTGGCTAATAATGATGTTAATTAACCTTTGTTCTGATTGGCACTTGTGATTATCTCGGTTGTGGTTTTTTGACACCATAACCCTTCAGCCTCTAAGAATGACCGACTTTTCATTTCTCCTTACATTGTCTTCCTAGAATCAAACGTGAAAGTCATGAGAATAAAGGAAATGATCACCAACTAGAAAGGCTCTTGATTATTGTACAAATTCTACTTGTCAGCACCGTAGGAAATGTATAGAGAACAGTATGGAGAATATGCATACTGATATGTTAAGGCTTAAAGGGATAATTAAATCTGGATGATTAGCAGTTGTGATCACTGTGCATTTACCTTTGGTTTTAGGAGGGGTTAGTAGAAATGCGTTCTATGAGAAAACAGTGTTTTATATCCGTGTGTACATATTATATCAAGTTACAATCCAACAGGCATCCCGGCAAGTTTTTTCTTGAACTCTGCCTCTAGCTTCTGACTTCGATAGCCATTACACTAGATTTTTATCTAACCTTAACTTCTGTAGGCCTCTAATACAAAACAATTATGGAGCTTCTACTTTTACTTTCATTGCATCGAAAATATGAGAGGCTATTCCACTGCATCTAAAAAAATTATGTTATTATCGCTTCTCCAAATAATTCAAGCTATATCTTCTAAATTCGCAATCTGCTTCTTAGAATGCATTGATTCAGT